ATTCTTGCGGGTACTATGACAAATGCTTATAACTAAAGAAGTATTTATTTGATCATCTTCATTTTTGGCATGGGTAATAAACAGGTATGTAAAAGTAAAATTTGAAAAATTTATACGAATCGGGTGATTAACCCATTCTACAGATAATAATTCAGGTATTTTCAAGGGTCAATTTCAACATTTTCTGAATGTCGCCATGAAGTAAAAATAACATTGTGACCCAATGACATATTTATTGAATGTTTTTAGGCTTTAGAAAATAATTTGACTATATAAACTTAAATAATAACATAAGAATTGTACCATATTCATAATTCTTCATCGCCATCCAGGCTCAAATAAACCCTCCCCCTCCCCATTTTCAAATATAAAGGTCTATACCTGAAACTTCCTCAAATAGCTATATTTCAGAAACTATTACAGCCTACATTCCAAAATTTCTTATGGTGATTATACACATCATACTCTGCATAATAGACATATAATTGAGATTTGTCCATTCTATAGCTAATAATTAAGGTATTTTCAAGGTTCAGTTTCAGCATTTTCTAAATGTCGCCATGAAGTAGAAATTACATGACCCAATGACATATTTATTAAATGTTTTTAGGCTTTAGAAAATAATTTGACTATATAAGCTAAGATAATAACATAAGAATTGTATGATATTGATAATTCTTCATCGCCATTCAGGGATAACCCCCCCCCCTAGTTTGCGAAAATAAAGGTTTTTACTTGAAATGTTCTCAAATGGCTATATTTCAGAAACTATTACAGCCTCCATTCAAAAATCTCTCATGTTGATTATACACATCATACTCTGCATATTATACATATAATTGAAGTCTTAACACTTTTTGAGGGTGTCGCTAATAATAATAGTATATTTATCAGACAGCTTAGAAATCAAAATATATGTTTTAGAAGGTTGTCACAACACTACAAGAGAGATATTTTGGATTGTCATCATTTTTGAGAATATTTCAAAAACATATTTCTATTATGCAATAATCACCTATTTTCATTTGACATAATTGAAATATATTATCCAGCTAGTGTTAATGATTTCAGTATATGCATTTAATCCTGAGATGCATTTAGGTTTGATATCCATGAAGTAATCATTTTTTTATTTTTTTTTTGTTTGTAAGTTTCTAAGCTTCACACTATAATCATTAAATCTGTATGCTTTAGGATATACATAATCAATACCGATGACTAAACATTCAATTGACAACATTCAGTCAATATGCTTGACAACATTCAATAATGATTAATATGTTCGACCAATATCTTTTTGAATAAACTTCATCAATACACTTTGCTTGAGTATTCACTTCAAAATTTCAAGGTTCAGTTTCAGCATTTTCTAAATGTCGCCATGAAGTAGAAATTACATGACCCAATGACATATTTATTAAATGTTTTTAGGCTTTAGAAAATAATTTGACTATATAAGCTAAGATAATAACATAAGAATTGTATGATATTGATAATTCTTCATCGCCATTCAGGGATAACCCCCCCCCCCCCCTAATTTGCGAAAATAAAGGTTTTTACTTGAAATGTTCTCAAATGGCTATATTTCAGAAACTATTACAGCCTCCATTCAAAAATCTCTCATGTTGATTATACACATCATACTCTGCATATTATACATATAATTGAAGTCTTAACACTTTTTGAGGGTGTCGCTAATAATAATAGTATATTTATCAGACAGCTTAGAAATCAAAATATATGTTTTAGAAGGTTGTCACAACACTACAAGAGAGATATTTCGTAATGATTTCAGTATATGCATTTAATCCTGAGATGCATTTAGGTTTGATATCCATGAAGTAATCATTTTTTTATTTTTTTTTGTTTGTAAGTTTCTAAGCTTCACACTATAATCATTAAATCTGTATGCTTTAGGATATACATAATCAATACCGATGACTAAACATTCAATTGACAACATTCAGTCAATATGCTTGACAACATTCAATAATGATTAATATGTTCGACCAATATCTTTTTGAATAAACTTCATCAATACACTTTGCTTGAGTATTCACTTCAAAATTTGCTAAGCAGTTGAACAATGTTAGTTATCAACATCACCTGAAAAAATTTCATCTATGAAATTGTTGACCTCATTATCTGACATATCATCATCAATTTCGTCATCTGATTCTTCGTTATAAATGTCTACCAACTCTTGTGGAAGAATGGCATTTGGATTTTCAGCCCATTGTATATCAAGTTCGCCATTTTTTAGGATCCATCCATTTTCTGCTGGAGAAGGTATATCCATTTGGCCAGATAATGAGGTCAACAATTTCACAGATGAAATCTTTTCAGGTAATGTTGATAACAATGTTCAACTGCTTGAAGCAAATGATGAAGTGAATACTCAAGCAAAGTGTATTGGTGAAATTATTCAAAAACATATTGGTCATTCAATATTATAATAATTAATCATTATTGAATGTTGTCAAGCATATTGACTGAATGTTGTCAATTGAATGTTTAGTCATCGGTATTGATTATGTATATCCTAAAGCATACAGATTTAATGTGTATAGTTTAATGCTCAGAAACTAAATTACAAACAAAAAAGAAACGATTACTTCATGGATATCTTGAAAACCTAAGTGCACCTCAGGATTAAATGCATATACTGAAATCATTAAAACTAGCTGGATAATATATTTAAATTATGTCAAATAAAAATAGGTGATTATTGCACAATATAAATATGTTTTCTTAATATTCTCAAAAATTATGACAATCCAAAATATCTCTCTTGTAGTGTTGTCACAACCTTCTAAAACATATATTTTGATTTCTAAGATGTCTAATAAATATACTATTCTCTATTAGCTACACCCTCAAAAAAGTGTTAAGACTTCAATTATATGTATAATATGTAGAGTAGGATGTGTATAATCAACATGAGAAACTTTGGAATGGAGGCTGTAATAGTTTCTGAAATATAGCTATTTGAGAACGTTTCAGGTAAAAACCGTTATTTTCGCAAATGGGAGGGGGGGTATTTATCCCTGGATGGAGATGAAGAATTATCAATATTGTACAATTCTTACATTATTATCTTAGCTTATATAGTCAAATTATTTTCTAAAGCCTAAAAACATTTAATAAATATGTCATTGGGTCATGTAATTTTTACTTCATGGCGACATTCAGAAAATGCTGAAATTGAACCTTGAAAATACCTTAATTATTAGCTATAGAATGGATAAATCTCAATTATATGTCTATTATGCAGAGTATGATGTGTTTAATCACCATGAGAAATTTTGGAATGTAGGCTGTAATAGTTTCTGAAATATAGCTATTTGAGGAAGTTTCAGGTATAGACCTTTATGTTCAAAAATGGGGAGGGGGAGGAAATTTTCAGCAAGTGTGCATTGTATAATTCTGAATTGACAAGCAATGTTTCATATACATATTACATCTACAATTTATTTTATTGTAATTACAAAATAAGTAAAAGTGGTTCGCGGGTCAGCAAATTTTGACTGATGTTAATTTGAAAATTTCCTACCAAAACATATTCATCTTGCCTAGATGTTTGCTTCAAACTACTTGTACTGGAGGCAGAACAGTACTCTTGAAGTCATTTATTCAGAAGTATTATTCATTGCTGAGAGGATCATTTCATTTATGGTTGTTTCCATTAGCCTGGACGCACATGCGTTGTTGACAAACTTAGTCCATAAAGATGTGTTCCAGTCCTCCCTTTGGTATCCCTTGAAGATTTGCTCAAGCCGTTGAATTCAGTCCCTTATCGGAATCAAACTTATGACCTCTCATATAATGCTCTTTAGCACCCAAAATGTAGTGAAGCCTAATAGTGCTTCATCTGGTGAATATTGTCTGATGAATACGGGGCAGTAATAACTTGTGTGAACCCTAATTCTTCAAGAGTTCTATTGGCAGCTGGAGTAATGGGAAGGAGCAAAGTCATAATGGAAGATAACTTCCCGCTATTTTTGGTCATGATTGTGACTTTGAGATGCTGATGAATGGTACGAAAATAGAGCAAAGTACACTCTTATATAACAATAAAGATGCTACTTTAGAAACTAAAGTTAGATGTATTTGAAAAATATAAAAAATCACAGAAATATGTCCACCAAATAGGCATTTATTAACCATAGTTTTGGATCAAGCAAAATTTGAATTCATTTTTATTTTACTTGACCCGCTACGCCATTCGTCATGTTGCTATGGTAACAATAATTATCCATTGTGACATCAGGTGACTATGAGACTGTTTTATCCAACCCAAAATTACATTCCCCATTTACCTTGAAAATTTCAAGTAAATTGGTTGAAAAATAATGAAATGACAGATAAATTCCCAGAACTTAGTGATCACCCTGTAGTTCAATTCTTATGATATTATTTTAGCTTATATAGTCAAATTATTTTCTAAAGCCTAACAACATTCAATAAATATGTCATTGGGTCACAATGTTATTTTAACTTCATGGCGACATTCAGAAAATGTTGAAATTGACCCTTGAAAATACCTGAATTATTATCTGTAGAATGGGTTAATCACCCGATTCGTATAAATTTTTCAAATTTTACTTTTACATACCTGTTTATTACCCATGCCAAAAATGAAGATGATCAAATAAATACTTCTTTAGTTATAAGCATTTGTCATAGTACCCCCAAGAATTTGTCGTCAAGGGGGGTAAAACTCAAAAATGACAACTTTCGCACCAGAAATTGATGTTAGACTGAGTGGATTCTAATGTAAGATGATGATATGGTTATATTTAAGCAATAAAATTATCCCCAGCTCCCGACCCCGACCAACCTTGCTATACAGCCCACTAATACGTTATAACAACCATGTATATAACAATATACAAATGTGGAAAATTAACTAAATATTGAAGTCAAATCTTCAATTAGGGGTTGATAAAACGCCGATTACTTATAAAAAGATATAATGATATTTAGTTGTTGTACCGTACCTCGCTCATCACAGTTCACCCCCAGAATCACTTCTGGACAATATAGCAGCGTAACCCCATTTACTGTCATCTGAGATAGGGTGCGGCAGTCGGCATTTCCACACCTATCACCGTGAACAAAACCTTGCTCCCGTGTCTGTAATAGTATAACTGCGCAAAACATCCAGATACTCATTTTAATACTTGCCTTACTTTAACTTTCAAGGCTTGATACTTCAGAATATGATATTTTGTTATAAATGGTCGTTTGACCTTCGCAGGGTCTTGTTTTTATGAAGCAAGCCAACTGAACTGTCATTTAAGTCATACCTATGACAATAAATGCTCAGTTTAAATAGTAATAGTAATAGGTCGTTATACTACTGTATATTGTTGATTTAATTGATTTTGGAAATGTAACATAGCGGTTTTGATAAATCAGAATACCACCTTGATGTATTCCATCAAACTCTTGAATATACAAAGTGTCAATTAGTGGAGTGTCAATTTAATTAGGTCTTAGACCGAAACTATATCCATGCCATTTATTTTTCGTCTGTCAATTGTTTCGCGCATTCTTTCACTCTGTAATTTACTTCTTCTCTTGCTCAATAATATTTATATCACGTGTCTAAATATTATTCTATTCATGGATATTTACTCAATCTCTTACTCAATACAATGTTTACATCATGCGCCTAAATATTATTCTACTCTTGGATATTCACTCCTCTTACTCAATACAATGTTTACATCACGTGTCTAAATATTCTATTCTTGGATAATTACTCCTTCTCTTACTCAATACAATGTTTAAATTACAAGTCTAAATATTCTATTCATGAAGATTTACTCGTTTTTTTACTCTATACAATGTTTACATCACGCGTCTAAATATTCTATTCATGGAGATTTACTCCTGCTCTTACTCAATACAATGTTTAAATTACAAGTCTAAATATTCTATTCATGAAGATTTACTCGTTTTTTTACTCTATACAATGTTTACATCACGCGTCTAAATATTCTATTCATGGAGATTTACTCCTTCTCTTACTCAATACAATGTTTAAATTACAAATCTAAATATTCTATTCATGAAGATTTACTCATTCTCTTACTCTATACAATGTTTACATCATACGTCTAAATATTCTATTCATGGAGATTTACTTCTTCTCTTACTCAATACAATGTTTAAATTACAAATCTAAATATTCTATTCATGAAGATTTACTCATTCTCTTACTCTATACAATGTTTACATTATACGTCTAAATATTCTATTCATGGAGATTTACTCCTTCTCTTACTCAATACAATGTTTAAATTACAAGTCTAAATATTCTATTCATGAAGATTTATTCCTTCTCTTACTCTATACAATGTTCACATCACACGTCTAAATATACTATTCATGGAGATTTACTCATTCTCTTCTCTATACAATGTTTACATCATACGTCTAAATATTCTATTCATGGAGATTTACTCATTCTCTTACTCAATACAATGTTTATATCACGCTCATGGAGAGATTTATTCCTTCTCTTACTCAATACAATGTTCACATCACACGTCTAAATATTCTATTCTTGGATATTTACTCCTTCTCTTACTCAATACAATGTTTAAATTACAAGTCTAAATATTCTATTCATGAAGATTTACTCGTTCTCTTACTCTATACAATGTTTACATCACGCGTCTAAATATTCTATTCATGGATATTTACTCCGTCTCTTACTCAATACAATGTTTACATCACACGCCTAAATATTCTACTCTTGGATATTTACTCCTCTTACTCAATACAATGTTTACATCACGTGTCTAAATATTCTATTCTTGGATATTTACTCCTTCTCTTACTCAATACAATGTTTAAATTACAAGTCTAAATATTCTATTCATGAAGATTTACTCGTTCTCCTACTCAATGCAATGTTCACATCACACGTCTAAATATTCTATTCTTGGATATTTACTCCTTCTCTTACTCAATACAATGTTTAAATTACAAGTCTAAATATTATATTCATGAAGATTTACTCGTTCTCTTACTCTATACAATGTTTACATCACGCGTCTAAATATTCTATTCATGGAGATTTACTCCTTCTCTTACTCCATACAATGTTTAAATTACAAGTCTAAATATTCTATTCATGAAGATTTACTCATTCTCTTACTCTATACAATGTTTACATCACACGTCTAAATATTATATTCTTGGATATTTACTCCTTCTCTTACTCAATACAATGTTTAAATTACAAGACTAAATATTCTATTCATGAAGATTTACTCGTTCTCTTACTCTATACAATGTTTACATCACGCGTCTAAATATTCTATTCATGGAGATTTACTCCTTCTCTTACTCAATACAATGTTTAAATTACAAGTCTAAATATTCTATTCATGAAGATTTACTCGTTTTTTTACTCTATACAATGTTTACATCACGCGTCTAAATATTCTATTCATGGAGATTTACTCCTTCTCTTACTCAATACAATGTTTAAATTACAAATCTTAATATTCTATTCATGAAGATTTACTCAATCTCTTACTCTATACAATGTTTACATTATACGTCTAAATATTCTATTCATGGAGATTTACTCCTTCTCTTACTCAATACAATGTTTAAATTACAAGTCTAGATATTCTATTCATGAAGATTTACTCATTCTCTTACGCTATACAATGTTCACATCACACGTCTAAATATTCTATTCATGGAGATATTCTCATTCTCTTACTCTATACAATGTTTACATCATACGTCTAAATATTCTATTCATGGAGATTTACTCATTCTCTTACTCAATACAATGTTTATATCACGCTCATGGAGAGATTTATTCCTTCTCTTACTCAATACAATGTTCACATCACACGTCTAAATATTCTATTCTTGGATATTTACTCCTCTTACTCAATACAATGTTTACATCACGTGTCTAAATATTCTATTCTTGGATATTTACTCCTTCTCTTACTCAATACAATGTTTAAATTACAAGTCTAAATATTCTATTCATGAAGATTTACTCGTTCTCCTACTCAATGCAATGTTCACATCACACGTCTAAATATTCTATTCTTGGATATTTACTCCTTCTCTTACTCAATACAATGTTTAAATTACAAGTCTAAATATTATATTCATGAAGATTTACTCGTTCTCTTACTCTATACAATGTTTACATCACGCGTCTAAATATTCTATTCATGGAGATTTACTCCTTCTCTTACTCCATACAATGTTTAAATTACAAGTCTAAATATTCTATTCATGAAGATTTACTCATTCTCTTACTCTATACAATGTTTACATCACACGTCTAAATATTATATTCTTGGATATTTACTCCTTCTCTTACTCAATACAATGTTTAAATTACAAGACTAAATATTCTATTCATGAAGATTTACTCGTTCTCTTACTCTATACAATGTTTACATCACGCATCTAAATATTCTATTCATGGAGATTTACTCCTTCTCTTACTCAATACAATGTTTAAATTACAAGTCTAAATATTCTATTCATGAAGATTTACTCGTTTTTTTACTCTATACAATGTTTACATCACGCGTCTAAATATTCTATTCATGGAGATTTACTCCTTCTCTTACTCAATACAATGTTTAAATTACAAATCTTAATATTCTATTCATGAAGATTTACTCATTCTCTTACTCTATACAATGTTTACATTATACGTCTAAATATTCTATTCATGGAGATTTACTCCTTCTCTTACTCAATACAATGTTTAAATTACAAGTCTAGATATTCTATTCATGAAGATTTACTTATTCTCTTACGCTATACAATGTTCACATCACACGTCTAAATATTCTATTCATGGAGATATTCTCATTCTCTTACTCTATACAATGTTTACATCATACGTCTAAATATTCTATTCATGGAGATTTACTCATTCTCTTACTCAATACAATGTTTATATCACGCTCATGGAGAGATTTATTCCTTCTATTACTCAATACAATGTTCACATCACACGTCTAAATATTCTATTCTTGGATATTTACTCCTTCTCTTACTCAATACAATGTTTAAATTACAAGTCTGAATATTCTATTCATGGAGATTTACTCATTCTCTTACTCAATACAATGTTTATATCACGCTCATGGAGAGATTTATTCCTTCTCTTACTCAATACAATGTTTAAATTACAAGTCTAAATATTCTATTCATGAAGATTTACTCATTCTCTTACTCTATACAATGTTTACATCACACGTCTAAATATTCTATTCATGGATATTTACTCCGTCTCTTACTCAATACAATGTTTACATCATACGCCTAAATATTCTATTCTTGGATATTTACTCCTCTTACTCAATACAATGTTTACATCACGTGTCTAAATATTCTATTCTTGGATATTTACTCCTTCTCTTACTCAATACAATGTTTAAATTACAAGTCTAAATATTATATTCATGAAGATTTACTCATTCTCTTACTCTATACAATGTTTACATCACGCGTCTAAATATTCTATTCATGGAGATTTACTCCTGCTCTTACTCAATACAATGTTTAAATTACAAGTCTAAATATTCTATTCATGAAGATTTACTCATTCTCTTACTCTATACAATGTTTACATCATACGTCTAAATATTCTATTCATGGAGATTTACTCCTTCTCTTACTCAATACAATGTTTATATAACGCGTCTAAATATTTTACTCATGGAGATTTACTCCTTCTCTTACTCAATACAATGTTTACATCACGCGCCTAAATGTTCTACTCTTGGATATTTACTCCTTCTCTTACTCAATACAATGTTTACATCAAGCGCCCAAATGTTCTACTCTTGGATATTTACTCCTTCTCTTACTCAATACAATGTTTACATCACGCGCCTAAATATTCTACTCTTGGATATTTACTCCTTATCTTACTCAATACAATGTTTATATCACGCTCATGGAGAGATTTATTCCTTCTCTTACTCAATACAATGTTTACATCACGCGCCTAAATATTCTACTCTTGGATATTTACTCCTTCTCTTACTCAATACAATGTTTACATCATGCGCCTAAATATTCTACTCTTGGATATTTACTCCCTCTCTTACTCAATACGATGTTTATATCACGCTCATGGAGAGATTTACTCCTTCTCTTACTCAATACAATGTTTACATCACGCGCCTTAATATTCTACTCTTGGATATTTACTCCTTCTCTTACTCAATACAATGTTTATATCACACTCGTGGAGAGATTTATGCCTTCTCTTACTCAATACAATGTTTACATCACGCATCTAAATATTCTACTCATGGATATTTACTCCTTCTCTTACTCAATACAATGTTTACATCATGCGCCTAAATATTCTACTCTTGGATATTTACTCCCTCTCTTACTCAATACGATGTTTATATCACGCTCATGGAGAGATTTACTCCTTCTCTTACTCAATACAATGTTTATATAACGCGTCTAAATATTTTACTCATGGAGATTTACTCCTTCTCTTACTCAATACAATGTTTATATCACACTCGTGGAGAGATTTACTCCTTCTCTTACTCAATACAATGTTTACATCACGCATCTAAATATTCTACTCATGGAGATTTACTCATTCTCTTACTCAATACACTGTTTACATCACGCGCCTAAATATTCTACTCTTGGATATTTACTCCTTCTCTTACTCAATACAATGTTTACATCATGCGCCTAAATATTCTACTCTTGGATATTTACTCCTTCTCTTACTCAATACGATGTTTATATCACACTCGTGGAGAGATTTACTCCTTCTCTTACTCAATACAATGTTTATATCACGCGCCTTAATATTCTACTCTTGGATATTTACTCCTTCTCTTACTCAATACAATGTTTATATCACACTCGTGGAGAGATTTACTCCTTCTCTTACTCAATACAATGTTTACATCACGCATCTAAATATTCTACTCATGGAGATTTACTCCTTCTCTTACTCAATACAATGTTTACATCACGCGCCTAAATATTCTACTCTTGGATATTTACTCCTTCTCTTACTCAATACAATGTTTACATCATGCGCCTAAATATTCTACTCTTGGATATTTACTCCTTCTCTTACTCAATACGATGTTTATATCACGCTCATGGAGAGATTTACTCCTTCTCTTACTCAATACAATGTTTACATCACGCGCCTTAATATTCTACTCTTGGATATTTACTCCTTCTCTTACTCAATACAATGTTTATATCACACTCGTGGAGAGATTTACTCCTTCTCTTACTCAATACAATGTTTACATCACGCATCTAAATATTCTACTCATGGAGATTTACTCCTTCTTCTACTCAATACAATGTTCATATCACACCTTTAATTATTCTACTCTTGGATTTTTACTCCTCTTACTCAATACAATAATTACACGACGCGTCTTAATATTCTATTCATGGAGATTTACTCCTGATCTTACTTATATTCATTTATATATGTATTACAAAAAAAGGTGAGAACAAGCCCTTCAAAGCACTTCAAAGGTAATCCAAGTTAAAACAAAATGCTTTGCTTAATCCATTGAGAAAAAATGTCTTCTAAATTCAGAAAAAATATTGAGGCACATTATAACATTAAACATTTTGACACAGACTCAATTTGTTTTCTTATATGCACCCATAATACAGAAAATAAACGTGGGTTCGAGTTGTCTTGGGTACCAGTTGACTTGGATACGAGTTGTCTTGGGTACAAGTTGTCTTGGGTACGAGTTGTCTTGGGTACGAGTTAACTAGGAAGCATTAATAATAGGTATCCTATAAAAACAAGGCTGGAATATATTAACCAATTAGGTCTCTGATAATTAATGTTTAACTTATTTTTCATAACATGTGGCTGTGAAGATATGAACACATGCAATTGGAGGATAAAGTAAAAAGTTTGTAAGGGAATGTGTAAAAAGTAATGTATATCCCAACACGGGCATGTCAATATGCATAGTCACAGCTAACATATCTAATGACTAAAGTTGTTTGCAGCCGAATTATGATAGCTGCGAGCTACCCCAGTACTTGGATGGGTGAAAATGTAAGGTGTTCTACTTTTAATAGTTCTTATTCAGGTCCTTGCTCCCCTCCGCCCCTTTCAGACCCCTAACCTTCACTATTGGTGAATAAAGGGGTCTGTATCTTTAACGTGAACAATACCCGGTCACATGTACGTCCAATTCTGACGTACTTCCAAACGCTCCGTGTTGCCCTTCGAAACAAAGAGAGCTGAAGAGTATTATAGGGGATTCATCAAAAAGAGGTCGGATAACACGATTACACTCTGAGATTCAGCAGTCAATGCCAAGAGTGTTTTGATATATCATAGGGATAAATAAAGCCATTCAAACTAATACTGTGATGCAATTATTGGTTTAGGCAACATATTAAAGTATATTTTGATGTTACCTGTCTGTATGCCTCTTACAGGACTGTATTTGTCTGTATGTCGATGATTTTGAAAAAATGTCAAAGATTGATGATTTTCAGACTTCGTTTACACACGTTGTGTGTGCATCATTTCAAAGGTTAACTACCCCAAATTCATTTCGATTTATTTGTGTAGGTTGATGGTTAATATTAATGAGAAGCATAGCAGTAATATTAATAACGATATTATCCAAGTCTTGGATCATTGTGGAATTTTAGCGTAGACTTTCTTGCATTGCAAATTGCCAACCCCTATAATCTTAAACATTTCAATAACGGACACCTCCTAAATATGTTCGTCGCTATGATCACAGTAAGTATATATCTAAGGCTTATATATGTGGCTAATGTGGATTAAAAGATGTATTTGCTGTTTGAATCATTTAATTCATTTAAACATACACTGCATTACATGTACATTCAAGCATCCTGTAACTTTATTGGAATCACATGTTACACTAGTAGGCAAGCGAATGAAGATGAGATCAAGATTGGAGTACCTCGCATTTACAAGTATATGTGTGACATGTGTGATCATTACCATAGTTGCTATAGTAAGGTTCGATGTTGATACAAGCTCGGTTTTCGCATTGATAGATGGACGTCGATTCCATTATGGTGAGTTACGTCCGTATGGGGAAGGAAATGAGGCGATTGACCGTCAAAACAAATCTGGTCTACACATACATGTATTTGAACGTGATACGACGATTGGCAACAGGTTTAATTATGGCTATAAGAAAACAAATAGCATAGTTAACGATTTCAAAGATCGAACTGGTGCACAAATAAATAACCAGTCTTCGACCTATCGGGATAATTATCGGAAAACTCACATCGAGGCGAATTACAATAAAGTTAAACAGCATTTCATAGTTGTAACACAGCCTCGTTGTGGTTCAAACTTGATGGATTCATATCTCAACCAGCACCCACTGGTGACGTGTTACAATGAACTCATCATGCAACCAATACTCAGCCAGTTCAATCTATCCAATAAATCATCCAGGTCACAGCTATTGAACTATGTTGGAGACATCATAGGTTTTGCCAGTACTACTGAACCTAGAACAAATTCCCGAACAGATTTCCCTGGCTCCACCAGTGCCACAAAAACAAGGTTTGGTACTAATGCTGGTTTATCAAGCATGATTTCAACAGGATTCAAAGTGCATTTAAGTCAGATGATCAAATTTAACATCACCATGGAATCTTTTCTAAGAAAACTGAAGAGGCCAAAGTTAATATTACTCTACAGGAAGAACTTGTTAGAACAGTACGTCAGCTGGCAGATAGCGGCCGAAACCAGACTCTGGTGGTCTACAGATATACAAAACACAATCTCGCACAAACTCAGATTAAATCAATTCGAGCACTTTATACTTACAGAGAGAATTCTCTGGCTTAAGTTAATGAAATTACTGAGGAGAAATCGGTATATTCGGGGCAACGATTACATTCTTGTTAGCTATGAAGATTTGGTTGTTGATAATAGCAAAACGATGAATGGTGTGTTTAAAATGCTTGGATACAGAGAAGAAAGAAGACATCTATTCACATGGTTGCTGAAGCAAAACCCAATGTCATTAAGCAAGAAGATATCTAACTATGTCGAAATTAAACCCCATTTGGAACGATTAGATTATACATTGCATGTCAAAACACAACTCCCATCTAATTTTGCAGTTAACGTGTATTCTCGTTAAAGAAACATTTTGAGATATCAGACCTGTAAAGTGTCATTATCTTAAGATTAATAAACGTGGGAGATAAACAATACAAGGGTTAATACAAAATGACGGCATCATTTTGTATCAATTTAGCATTTATATTTGATAATTGTTTTTTAAAGTGTAAAACATCCTGATTGTAAGTTAGGTGACAACAGTCCAACATGCCTAGTTTACGCAACTTAGGTAAACAATTAGAGAAATTATTGATACGATCCATTAGTATTTAGGGTAATATTTCAAGCTGAATAATGATGAGTACAAGTTATGAAGTGTTAACGTATGAAGCAACCATGGCAGCATATGTTATATAATAATACATATATGATATATGAGAGTTCAATGTTTGACCTCCGGAGGTTGGTGGGCACGTGGTCGTTGGTTGGGGTGCCGTTTTATTATAAACTCCATCAAGATATCGTTTCATAGTTAATGGAAAATCGGTAAACATGCCATCTATACCAACTGAAAGGAGTTTCTCGTATTCTTGATACGGATCTTGACCATAATCCCATAACAAGAAACGATCTTCGTTTCTGAGTGTATACGTGTGTACCTTCAGTCCATGCGCATGCGCTCGGGCCACCAAGTTACTTACTCCACCTATCGGCTGTTTGCTGCCACCTAAAGGGTCTTTCCCATACACTATTAGGGATTTGGAGGGCCCTATACCGTACATATACGTGGACCATTCCCTCAGCTCCCCATCCGTAGCATTAAAGGCTGCTAACAGGAGCACGAGTGGGACTTTAGTTCTGTTGGCCAAATATTCTATACTGTCTAAACTAAAAGATTGTAGAAACACGGGGGAATTTTTTTCAGTATATCCATTCCTTTCCAACTCGTCAACTAAGAGGTCCTCAAATGTTGTATTCGCATTCTCAACAATATCTAAACTGTTAACCCAATCTGGATCTTTGGTTTCTACATGGATGGCGATCACCCTGGATGCGTTTTTGCTGACGTCTATCATTTCCTGCAGTGTTGGTATTGGAAATTGCAAGTCAAAATTTTTGTCCCGGTATGAACGTTGTTGCTTCTTTCTAAGCGTTTTCAGTTCGTTCAATGTAAAGTCAACGGAGAACCAGTTATCAACTACATGTGTCAGGCCAACCAATCTCGTTGTCTGCAATAAAGGAGATTAAAAATTGTTTAAACCATGAATACTTATTTTCTGATTGTTAACGGAGCAATGGCGTCATTGATTCCAACTAGGAATGCTGAGAAGTCCATTGAGAGGTTGCGCAATTATTCAATTGAGATTACACATGAACTTCAATATCATGTGTCATATTAACACCTTTTAAATCATAATGGCACCACCGATTACAATCGCTTGTCACCCATTTTAGCGGTAGCTACTCTTTCCATTCATTTTTCCTTTAAATTAACCCTAACGAGTAGTAAATAAATCAAGTCGTACGTAACTATGACGATAAGATTTAATGCCTTAGTCAGATTTGATCTACGGCAACTGTATACGCGCACGGCGGCCGTAACTTTAAAGTCAAGAGAAAAAATGCAGCATAAAATATATGTAGATTTTCTGTTAGTATCGATCACCGAACAAATATGACTGAGGCTTTAGTGAATCTTCGTTACCTTCCTATTTGCAAACTCTGGTTTACTCTCAACATCAGTTGCAGATTTGATCCAGCTTTCGTGTAGACATACTATCCTAAGGTCTTTGGTAAGACACATGTCACATTCAAGTACGTCGGCGCCTTGTCTAACCGCCAGCTCGTATGCAGCCACAGTGTGCTCTGGAAGCATCCCCGAACTGCCTCTGTGCGCCACGATCAGGGGGCGATCTGTATCTAAGCCGGCAATACCATGATCGAACCTCGGAGGTGTCAATATTGCAACAGCATCAGTAGGGTCCAGGTTTTGAAATGTTACAAGAACCAGAAAAATAACCCCTCGCATGAATCCCATCTCGATAGATTCTAATGACACTACTGATAGCTAGTCTCTAGTTCAACGTCCAGGCGATACTTTTACTGTTTAGCAATTATACAACCATTTCTAGAGTCCACTTATGAGGAGTACATATTCCCCAACCTTGATAAAGGGGCCACTTGAAAGCGCGATCAATGTTTCGGTTTACAACAATTAAGTGACAGACCATCATGAGTGATCTATTTCAGAGCAAGGTCAAACATGATGCGCGTTAAAAATAAAAGTAGACTTTAGTACGGTCGTTCTCAATTTTAACAAATGAGAAAATGATGATTGATCTTCACTGGGCAAGGTATACCCACTTCAAAGAATTGTGACAAATGTTTATGTCATATAACCAACCTTTGAACGTACCCATAAGTACATTTCGCAATGAAAATTCTTAAAGGTTTAAGTTCAACATTTCTCTCTAAACATGATTTTCTCGTTAAAATTAGTAAATTACATGACAAGATTCATTAAAAAATTCATTGAAATTATCATTTTTCTTTCAAAAGATGGGAAATGAAAAAGCTTTTTCTTCCAAAACATGCGAAATGAACAAGCTTTTTCTTTCAAAACATTGGAAGATTCTCAGCCACGCCAAGTTGTCAGTAAAGCACGTACTTATTTAAGGAATAATGCAAGGAAACAGAAACGAAACTTTATTCCCACAGCCTGATTCCCATGGTTTCAGGACTTTTTGTCGCAAACTGCCATCTATCATTCATTGCATTAGAAAAAACTGATTTTTTCAGATCAGTGATCGCTTATTCACACAATACAATGGATCCGGAATGTGAAGCATCCGAATCACAATATAGCGCGGCAAAATTTGCCAGATTTGAAGCAACAGATTTGAAGCAAAGACAATGACGTAGGTTTGATATAGGTTTTAAAAAAATAATCTGAGGAATGCATTAAGGATTTCATGTTTGATTTTTTGTGTATTCGTTTAGGAAGACATTTAACTTTCTAATAACGTTAAAAGATTTTCGAACAGTTTATTTATTTATTATTTATTTATTTATTTTATTAAAGTGTCATGAGTTATAAAATATATAAAATACAATTAAAACACCCCAGGCCGACAACGACCTATAGGACACTATAAATACATGTAAATCATTTATATAGAAAATTTTCTCGAAGTTTCAGCATTTGGCCACAGGCCTTTGCAACATATAGGTAGATACTAATATTGCTCATTAAGTTAAAAAATTTCAAATCTCTGTCCATATGTAAAAATGCAGGCATTTGATATACAATTTTTCTGAACAAGTCTGACCTTAAGTCATTATAAAAAGCACAATCTAACATAAAATGTTTTTCATTTTCCACTGAGCCAGTGTCACATAAAATACATAGTCTTTCCAGTTCTGGCAGTCTTTCAAAGCGCCCAGTCTCTATACGTAACGGGGCCACACCGCATCTGACTGAAGCAAATGCCCTTCTACACGAAAGGGGTATATCAGTGCTCGATTTTTTTCGTAGTCGATCTACCCATATAATTGTTCGGTTGGAAAATGTTGGAACATTTTGGCTATAATTTAAGAAATCATAAGTGTAAGTTGTCAACTCGAATGTACGTTGTCCCATTGAACTTACTAAATTTAAAGTTAACCCTAATGCAGACAACGTATTTTTCATAACACTTACAGACAGGGGTCAGATGCATTTAAAATTGAAACAGAACAATTACAGAATTACTTCAATTTGATTGAACTATTGAAACTTTCCAGATATATCATAAACGGGATTTAAAAAAGTCATATTCAATAAGCTAGTATAGATCACTAGATCTATATCTATCAATGTAACTAACAAAACGTAAGGTACAGACGCCAAATAATCAAACAGGCTGGAAGCAGACTCCGTGGAAGTGCTAGTCTTCAACATATTTTATTCCAAGACACTGGGTGGGAAATTGGGCTGGAAGCTAACCCCCAATGGGCACAAATTAACCACCACCACAACAATCACTTGTTACTCATAAAAACCTTAATGAATTTTCAAAAATGAAATCATCACATTGTTTAATATGACGTATATATCATGAATTACAATTACAGGGACAACGCACATTTCTGACTTTTTAAATTACAATAAATACTTTAATATTCATTAATCTCCACCCGTCCTAAATAGAGTAGTATAGAGACACATAATCTCATAAAATAATCAACACTCTTAGGCAACAGGGGAAAAAATGATCAAAGGAAATGTGAGAATCCCAACATTTTCCAACCGATCAATTTTCGTAAATAATGATAAGCAAGATAATGGAAATTTAAATTCGTAAATAACCATCTGATCGTCATCATAGAAGGATCAATATTATAACTGATATAAAATAAGAATATTTTTTAAAAATTAGATGGAAATTACTGCTGCTATTATTACACGCATGTGCCTTTAAAGGGGACAATCAAGTAGTAATTTAGTAATTTTCTCTTGAAAGCCCATGGTTATAATCACTCTGTGATAATAATAATAGTGATAATGAATTAAAGTGCCAAGTGGTATGTTAAACATCCATTTAGCTGCATCATCAACGACGTACAGAGGCGTAGTCAGCTTTTAGTCAGGGGTGCGATCGCCAAAAATTCGGTTTTCAGTCAGGGTGTGCGAAATTCAAATTAACCTACTAACGGCATTCGCGAATACAACGTACATGTAAGATGCAAGACATTATAGTGGATAAAATCATCCAATTCATTGGGTCGTGTGCTTAGATTCTTCTTAGAATGATTATTTTTGCAAGGAACCTTTTTGCTAGGGTTAAATTGTCACAACTAGGTCAACCCTGACTATTTGACAATGAAATAATTTGGAATAATGAGAACATTGTCATCAGAAGAAATTTAATGATAAGAATCAAGGATGTTATGCTGAGAGGTAGAGTTAAATCATGGAATCTGGTCAAAATGCAAAGTGGACTTTAACACAATTATATGCTAAAATGGTTTGGCCTTATTCAGGTCATACCATCAGGTTGGTTAAGAGTACCGAATGGAAGTATAAATGACCATGTATCTCTAGAGAATACAAAGGTTATAAAGAGCGATACAGAAGTCAACTTTTTAAAATGCACATCTAGAGAATTTTGTAAAATATTGCTGGAAGCTATTGCAGAATATCCAGCACCAAAACACACTTTATCAGATAAATATCATATTAAAGAAGAAGATTGGTCATTTTACTCTGAACACCACCATAAAACCCTGACATGTTCAAGCCATAAAGACATTTCAATGTGAGAACTTAAACGATATTTTATGAAATTGACGGGGGTAATTAATTCACGGAATCTAAAAATAATGTTTGGTTATAATTCCAAGAATATAGATTATTCGAAATACTGTGTTCTGATTGACCGAATGTGTGAATTTGTTATCGATACGAATTTGTCGTCATTCCTTGCTAGGTGACTCTTCCCCATCGGATGCCACTGCTGAGAGATGTATTACTCAATAAGTGATATAAGATTACAAAAGTAATTACATAATATTATTGTAAATTATATAAATGACGTTCTCCTACCAGTGAGCATTAATAACAAGTTTGCGTAGCTCTATGAGTGAGGTGTTAATATGAATAGAAACGCACGACAAATTGTTCCTATGACCAAGATATTTCAAGATGGTGCTAAAGCAACCTCTGGAAGTAGACGATCCAGTATAAGACTGAGTGAGACGATGTGTTGCGGGGTTCCAAGTGATCCCATTACCAAGAGGGGAAGAACGATACAAGTCGTACGGATGATGCTTCTGGTAGTCCTGCCTATCATTGTATTGGCCTCACAAACGTTTGTCATTATGCTTGATGGATTTAATGATAAAGCTAACAAAGATAGCGTTCGTGGTAATGTCGTGTTCTCAACAGAAACTGGTCAAGTCGTCCATCTGTTACAACTTGAGCGAGGGATTTCGGTTTTCTTCCTGAGCTCTAACAAAAGTACTTCTCTGAGTGAACGACTGATGTCAACATATCGTGAAACCGATGCGGGTTTGGATCATCATTTAAGGGGACAGTCCTGGCTATCGTCATCTTCAACGGATCACTTTAAAAATGTCGAAGCTCTGCAGTCCTATATTCAAAGCTTCAGGGCACGAGTGGCAATCGACAAGAATGTTACCATTACAGATACCATCGCATTTTATTCGAATATCATCGACGAATTGCTGAAGTGGGTCGGGATAAGTGTAAACGCGACAAAGGACGCACCGATTTGGAAAACGCTGGTTGCCTACCACATGTTAGTGTTAAGCAAAGAACAAACTGGAGTGGAGAGGGCTTTAGGATCTTCTTATTTTGCAGCTGGTGAATATTATAGTTTTACTATTGCTCTGACCATGCAGTCGTTTTATAAAATTTTTGTCTATACTATAATTTTATAATCATCACCACAAATAAATCCCCACGATAATTATTCTGTCTTTTAACGCCATGGCCATTTAACAACAACTGTAACTACCTAATATGCAATTTTTATCGTGTAGAGTTTTGAAAAATTAAGTTTTGAAATTCCACTTTTAAAATGGAATTCAACAGGCAAATGACTTAATCTGAATTACATGTTCATACATAGCGGTGTAATTATTTTAATATTGAAAGAAACCATAAGCAATGGTTAGGATATTCCTTGAAGGTTTTTTGTCCTGTATACAAAATATGAATAGTACCGTGGGTACTGGTCTCACATGATGTTGTATTCTTGTATTGCATTTTATTTACATCCACACTCTTAAAAATGAATTACTTGAGTATTTCCCAATTTTTTCCCAAGTATAAAAATTACTTAAAGTTAAATACTTAGTTTTACTTCATTTTACTCAGGTTTAACTTATATTGTCATTTTGAGTTATTTAATTGCTTAATTATGTAAATTAGTATTACAATTACTACAGTAAGTATTTCAATTTCTCTCCGTGCATTAGTAAATTCACCATAAACGAATTACTTAAAAATTACTTAAAAATTATTCAGTAGTTCAAGATTATTTAAGTAATTTTTGACTTAAAATGAGTAGTACAATTTCTCAATATACGGAAATCCAAGTAACAATTTTTACGAGTGCAAGTAATTTACACAAGTAATCCTGGAAGACAAACCCAGAAAACGTTCTTTCAAGGAGCTCTTTATTTCCTTATGTGCACTCATACTGCATAGGCGTACAACTACACACCACAGAGTTATTGCCCACTCAGTCAAACATCCTGGAGTTTTTTACGCAACCAGCAAATTAATCTTGCCCGAACCGTGATTGAACCCAAGATCTAGTGCAGGTACACGGCTACACGCTGTACCGTTGAACTACAGCAGTGGATTTTAATTAGTAATTAACAAAAGTAATTTGAAACTAGAATAACATAGCGTCACGACTGCTTCATTATCTGTTATTAATAATAGTTCCTGAAATAAAATGTTGATGTAGCATTCACAAATAAAATTCGGAAATAATTGCATATATGATGTAGGAAAGGGACAAATGGATCCTAAAATCGGGTTCATTTCATTTTTGTAAGGACAAAAACATTCCATAGAATCATAGCGACACATTTTTTGCTTGAAACCTGAAGAAAATATTTCATATTCATGTTCGTGTATTAGATTCTATGATTGAAAATCCAAAAACGGCCGAAGAAAGGTTACTCTGTATTTTGGGCATTATTGGTGTAGGTTTTAAGGTGGCCATTTTCGAATTTTCGTCCTAAAATTTTTTCTTTTCAACCTATCAAAATATAATTATATTACATCTGAACTGTAAGTTGGAAGCTGTGAAAGTGTCAGGTTTTTGGGTCAATATCCTAAATTCTGAATTAGAGATTTCTGGTTAATTCGTACATGATAGCTTGTACTGAGCTAATAATATTTTCGTTTTTAGGTGGATTTGACAAGGAACGACTTCTTTCATACGTGAAAAAGAAAGAGATGGCCGCAACATATTTTAAAACGTGCACAGAATATTATCCCCTCGTTGCCTCTCGATTTGAGCAGCAATTTATGAAAACGACAGCTGCAATTGAAATAGCATCCATGAGAAAAGACATAACTTTAAGCAATATTACTGGACCGCGTGTACAGATGGGAACATACTGGTTCCAAAATATGACTAAGTTAATCAATTATCTCGGGATCATTCAAGATGATCTTGCGCACGAGATAGTTGTAACATTAGAAAAGGAAGCGAAAGACTCTATCACTACAATAGTCGTCAATGTCCTCATCCTCATCGGAATTTGCATTCTATGCCCGACTGTTTTATTATTGATTCACAAAATGACAGTCGACATTCAAAACGTCGCCTCAGTTTTAAAAGAGAAAACAGAAGACCTGAGCGCAGAGAGAAGAGTAACCGACTTTATGTTGTATCGAATGCTGCCAAGAACAGTCGCTGATAGATTGAAAAATCACCAGCCGATCAAGCCTGAAAGTTTCGACCATTGCACGATTTACTTTGGTAGTATTGTTGGTTTCAAAGATATCGCAGCTCATAGTACAGCCCACCAGGTGATAGTTATGCTGAATAAGCTACACCAGACATTGGACGCAAAGATGGAAATGTATGATGTTTATAAGGTTGACACTATAGGTGAGTGACATGACATAAATGAAGCACTCATTCGAATCTGTTTCATCATTGCAAAAAAAACAAGAGGGGTGATCCTGAGGTCATCTCTGAGCTTTAGGGTTTCCCCCTCCTCTTGTGTGATGTTTTGAAGTAAATACTGAGTTCTTTATATTACATCTCATGAATTCCATTGTCATTGTCAACATACAGTTGATGCGTCAACGTACAGATCTGTTTGTTAATATACACAATGAATGATTATTTGCTAAATCTTCAACCGTCCTTCAATATATATATTCTCATGAAAATAACCCATACTCTTAGGCGGCAGCTAGGCGAATTCACTCAGAAAAAAAACTGTTATCGTAATTAGAAAGTTGAAGTATTATATATGTCGCTTTTTCGTCGTAGTTTTTGCTTCAATCATTAAATCAGTTAATTTCGCCACAGTACTGTACTATACGGTATTTTTGAGCTACGGATCTATGAAACATTCCTAGAAATAGAAAAAGGAAAACATCTGATTTGAAAAGCGATCTATTTTCCTTTTTATCACCGCCATTTTTGTTTCAGACAATTTTTCAAAGCCCTTATCATTTAAAGCAATAAATTGGGCATATTTTCTGAAAAATTCAAAAAATTCTGTTCGTTGACATTTCCGAACAATTTCAGATGGCTGAAATAACGATTTCAGCGTGTTTAAGGTCATTTGTTCTCACCATGCCCATTGTTTTCCTGGTCATGTAAATGATATGTGGAACTAATAAAACTGACTGGAGTGATATAGATACATGACAATTTTGTCACAACTGTATGTATACTTTCAGGGGATGCATCATTTATGGTGGCATCTGGAGTTCCAGAGCTCAATGCGGTAAACCACGTAACGGAGATTGCTACAATGGCGCTTACCCTCGTCGACTCCGTTGCTAACATAGTAGTGCCGCATATGGTGGACAGACATCTTGTACTACGGAGTGGTTTTCATTCAGGCACGTATGGATTTTTATGTATGGAAATTGATTTGTCATAATGAACCATTGAACATATCAGGATCAGTTAGGTCTTAACTGTTTTTCGAAATACCGTTTCTGTAACTTAAGTGAGAAATTAAATCGACGATTCTGTTGTCTTCTGAACTATTTGTTCGCAAATAAGTGCATTTCCTTAAAGGCGCAGTAGCCGGAATTCGGGAATAATTCCTTAGATAACCCCCAAAATAAATCGTTGGTGCCTCAAACCTGCCCCGAGGAGTGGCTATGACCTGAACTTAATTTTGTCAAAATACCGGAGCCTGACAAAAATAACTAACCTAAATATATAAGCACTAGTGCCAAAGGGAAAGGACCAAAAGTTGTAATGGAACTTAGCAAGAAAAAGCAAACTCTAAGTGCATACCAGTCAAGAAAAACAAAACCCATATAGCCCAAAACCATGATCTAACGTGAAAAGAAACAATGTCTAATACCCCCTTTCCCCCCACCATTCAAGAATGAATATCACAATCCAAGACCAGAAGACCAAGGGACATTTCATTCATACTAAAGTCATTACAATACATGTTGAAGAAAAAAAAAATTAAAAATTGATAGCCAATTGATAGCCAATACTCATAACCTCAAAAACTGTTGTAGATACAAGTACTCATACAAGATAGAGCATTCAGTCTCAAATGATGTGGGATAGATAAAATCCAGTCTCCAAGTCCATGGGCGTTTCAAAGGGTCAACATCCATTCACGAAAGAAGTTTCGGTTTCGTTCGACTGCGAGAGCAAAATTGAAGCTGAGCTAAACGGTTTTCGTTTGTCGGATATAGTCCTGAGTGATTAGTGATTTGGTTTTCTGTATAAAAAGTCATTTTTTCTCCTTTCCTACCCCATTGGAGCGCCATCTGGCGTTTGGGAAGTGAATTGGGACTAAATATTTATAAGGTAGGTCCTGATTTATCTGAAAACATGTCAAAGTTCAGTGGGAAATCTCATTTTAAGCTGGCGGCGGAGTGATTTTGACCTCGGTGATTTTACCATAATTCTCTGAGAAATCTGACGATAGAGGGGGTTAGTGTCTTCAAGTTTATTTATCTCAAAAATTCGGTGGACAACCAATTATAAGATTGTTATAGCAGGCTAGACGAGTCTCTCCCGAACACAGTGGTATGTTGCACTAGGCTTGGATACTAGTCGTTAATAAGATACAGGGTAAAATGTTATAATGGCCACCTATGGGAAACTCTACTGTAATCTTCAACCGTCGTGAAATTGACCTCCTTTCACTACGCCATCTGGCGTATGATTCATTGTTTTCGTGTCATATGATTCGTTGTTTTGCGTGACGTGATCTACCTTTAGACCTTTTGCCACCTATCGTAAATTAATCGAACTAAAATGAATTTTTTCGATTCAAGAAGAAATTTTGCACAAAAATTTTAAACTCCGATTGACATAATCCCTTTCGCTCAATTATCTTCTTGATGAGACAAATCAGAACTTGGGAGTCATAGCCATTCAACCAAGCCAAAAGTATGTATATTAGTTGTTCAACATGTTCAAATGTGTTAATATCACTCGACCTTTAAACATATGATACTGATACACGTTTGTGATAAAAATGTTGTGGGAATTCTGCCTACAACGTGTGAAATAAGGAAAAAAGAAAAATCGTACCTTCGATGTTCCGACATTTTGTTACCGAAACCCTGCGTAATCGAGTGCTGATCGTATTAAGAAAATAGTGCTGTGTGCCTTTGCGATTAGCCTACCGCTCAATAAATGTGGCGATTTTTCATTTTGAATTCCTGTTGAAGTTCACAATTTTATAAATTCAGGGGCATGTGTTGCTGGAGTGGTAGGCTTCAAGATGCCTCGCTATTGTTTGTTTGGAGATACCGTCACAACTGCGTCCCTCATGGAGTCCACGGGTAAAGGTACCGTAAATTCTTTATATTGTGATAAGTTTGCGGGTAGGTGAGCGCCCAAAACAATTTTGTCTACATTTTTCCACTCCAAGCGAATCGTTGGACAAAATTTCCAGTAATATTTTAAATCTGCAGTTTTGACTTTTTCGTTCCAAAATCTTGGCTTAGGAATATTTCTTGGTATTCTAGTGTTTAATCAATTAGTTTTGTGGGCATCCTTTTAATCGGTCATAAAATGTTGTCTGTAATTGTTTAAGATTGATCTAACATCTTTAGACATGTTTCTTGGTATGGCAGTTTAAAACGGATTCGTTTTTGGGCGTTCCAGGTAAATAATAGGGCGGTTATTTCTGACTTTGTTCCGAAAACAGTCTGTTTAACCCCTAATTACGGACAATTAATTGAAATAAAATATTCTATTAATTATCCAAGTGTTGTTAACCATCATTATATTCTATTATTCAGCTTCGAAGATTCAGATTAGTGAAGCAGCGTTTGTACTCTTGCGATCCAACAACATGTATGTATTACAAGCAAGGAAAGAAACTCATTTTGAGGTATGTCTATGAAAAATAAGATATGCAAACTAAACCAATTAAACAACAAAACGTATGCATCCCATGCAGACAGGTCGCCTAAAATTACATTCGTATGATTCGAGACTCGACATTCACCAGGAAAGTAGAAACATTTTGTAACCCATGAAGCAAATTATTTTTTACTGCTTAATAAATAGTCAAGGACAGTTACATTGAGTTCTATAAGTATGAGAATAGCATGTCGTCTTGATATTTTAAGGTAACTCATTCGAAAAGTGATGACGGTGATCGAAGTTACGATGTAAAGATAAAACCATAATGAAATATTTGTAGATATATTTGAAAAACCAAGAAGTAAACAACACATATCGAATTTTTCAAAACAGAAAAAAACATGTATAAAAAGTAAGGCTTGCAGGTCAGATTCCCTCTGGTAGCATTAATATTGGTCTCATACATGTCATACAATTAATATTTGAAATATAAATATCATTCGAACTTATGATCAGTCATAAGTATGATGTTACTTTATAAATATTACATTGAAGAACACATCATACTTATGTCCGATCATAAGTTTGAATAATAGTTGGGTTTCAAATATTAGAGAATTTTCGTTAAAACTTATACGTATACTTATACTTATAAACCCAATAAACAGGTGTTTCATAATTTCCTAATTCGTCGGGAAATATCTCCTACGACGGTAATAAAAAGGGCCAATGGCATACCATCCGTACCCCCTTGATGTAAAGCATGCTTAGTTGTGTCATATGTGTTTTCTAGAATCAAATAGGCTGATATAGCACACGGGTTTTACAGATTTATCTACTCTCAAATATATTTTTTGTAGATGATCGTTTTGAATCACCTTGTAGAAATAACGAAGGGAGAATTAGTTCAGCTAATGAATGAGTCGAGCTGTTTGATTGGATACTATGCCTATTCAGCCGATTAATTGTAATAAGCCATTCTGGTCAGTAGGTCCACACATATACTATGCGGAGATCCAACTCTGTAAGTTTATAATCTGCGTATAAAGGCCCTTTTATACGTAAAAACTTAAAAATTGACCTTATAATTTCATGAGAACTTTGAAATGATCGACTAGTTCGTGTAGTGATTCACTTTTAAGGGTCTTGTTTATCGTACACTACAAGGACCCGTCAACTAGCGTTTAGTTTATCGTGTTCATAATTGACACTAGCAAAGGACATTGTATTCGCAGTCCCTAGTTGATGATGGAGCTTGACTATATCGGGAATAGTTATGCCCCACTTGGTACAGATTATGAAAATCAATTTGAATTTATTTTAGTTCGACAAGACCCTTTAAACTATAAGTATACGTATACGTTTTTGAAACAACTTATAACGAAAATTCTCTAATTAATTGTATGTCGACTTATACGAGACCAATGCTAATGCTACCAGAGGGAATCGGATTTACATGCCTTACTGTTTATACATGTTTCTTCTGTTTTGAAAAACACAATATAAGATGTACAGGGTATCCACAAATCCAAATGGTGCAACATCCTGCATTTCAATAGATCGTTTTTCTATTTTAACCTTTTAAAGAATAGTCTAAATACCGATTAAACATTTCATTTTTTGCGTCTTTGATTAAAGTATGTGGTCTCGAAGCAAGCCCCGGTAGGCAAGATATATTTTGAAATTTTTCACTTTTTGAAAGCGAGTGCCAGTTTCAAGTATCTCTATTGATGCTTTTAACTTAAGCTTAAGTTTATTCCAGTCGTAAAATGTTACATAAAATCAACTTAAACCAACTTAAACAACTTTTGCCTCATCATGATAAACCATGCCATCTCATTTCTTCTAAGCCCTGAGATGTTTCAGGTGAAACAGAAAGATGCTATATGAGTATCAGAATGCTTAAAGCCTTAGGAATGTCAAAAGGAAGTAATTTGTCATATTATACCCTGAGTAGCAGGATATTTCCTCTGGGAATTTTCTTTGGGAGCGGTACCTGAATGTAGAAAGCCATCTTAGTATTTTATATATTTTTACCATCCGCATAGTCTTTCGAACAAATCGTCTCTCCGGTCCAGCCCCTTTTTATGGACTCGCGAACGTTTACGAGTTTAGGAATAAAGAATGATTGTAATATTTTTCGCCATTCACTATATTGATATCGAAGCCTTTCTTTGCAAACGAAGTAGGCCGAGGGTACCACGAATGTGAAGAGGACGTCTCTAATTGGTCAAAAAGAGAGGCTCGGCATTCTCCGTCAGAGTGAATCGGCAAAATTTGGTTGTATGGCTTACCTTCGGATGGCTTACCTCCGGCTGCATGGTCCAACCTCGATTGAATGGAAAAGATGCTGTCCCGTTGATATTCAGCACGAGTTGAAAGCACAGGCCGACGGTAATTACAAAGCAAGGACCGAATAGGTCGTTCATCTATCGAAAACGAAGCAGTTGTAGTCCATTTGTCACCCCTATACATCCAATAGTGAACCTAGAAATTGTTAAAAGTACGATGTTTTATGGTCGATTTATGATAATAAGGGTTTTCTGAAGTGATTTAACTGGGTTGCCCAAAAAGTTTGTTTGGGGAAAAATGATATAGACTGATTAGGAAGGGCTGCAATCGCTTAACATGGCGTTGACTATTGACTTAGCGTTTGGATACCACCATATACCTGGTATGTTACCATGGTAATAGATACAAAAATTTTCCCCAAAGTTATTTTTTGGCAACCCAGCTAAATCACTCCAATAATCCCTAATGATAGTATTTACAAAGAAAAACATCATACTTTTAAGTATTTATACGTTCAGAAAATGACAAATGGACTATTGCAATCTGAATGGAAGAGAGATTATAAAATAGCATGGGCATTTTTGAAATAAGGAATAAAGAATCCTGTCATACTTTAAATATAGCATGAGTACAAAGACAATGACATACAAGTAAACACCACAGCCTTTTATACGCATTGTGGCCCTTTATCACGGTGTTATAGCATGACGGTTACGCCACCTCTGAAAACGAGGTTGGACGGCTACGTTCACTGATTTATCCAATAAAATGACCGCGATGGAAGAGAAACTAAGGTTGGTGCATTATTTTCTACTACTGTGTATCAATGAAAGGATGAACGATTTATGTAAGCTTCGCATTCGGTGATGCATTCAGTAATGTATATATTTTGAACGTAGTCTTTGCAATTTGATGCCCGGGGATAACATGAAATAAGAGAAAAATTGGTGAGTTTGAAATTCAAAAATTTAGTAATTTGTTTATTTTTGTTCTTAGGGCATGGTCTACATTGCCTAAAAACCTTGGGGTATATAGATGTAACCTACATACGATCATACAAAGCCAATTGAGCATTGGAAACCACCTAATATGTTCTACTTAAGCCATAATAATGTATTTTGAATTTGCGGTAACGTAAAAAATTGATGGACGATTACGCGAACCTGATTCAAATATGAAACCCCGATTCAATGTTATTAATTTTGTCATCTTCATCAGTACTTGATCATTAATTTTCTTTTGCCTCTTCATTGCTATATTTTACACTTTCATTGGTTTCATAAATAAAGCAAGCGACAGTTTTTTCCTTGCCCTATAGAGGCTGAAACAAGAGCGTCTCTTGCGAGTCCTGAAAACAAATATAGGCAATTTAATATTCCATTTCTTACCTATTATAACAATAACATGGAAAGAGGCTATCAGATCTAGCAACCTTGACTTGACAGATGTACAGGCACGTAACCGTCCGCTAAATATCGTATGTACAACTAAATACAATACGTTACCGTCCATAGAATTCGATAGAAGTCATACGTAGTCGTCTAACGACATTGCGTTCGAAACCTTATTATTTACGATATACATCACGTTCTTGTTCTGGATTTGTCATTTTATGCCTTGTTATACACAGTTTACTTACAGATAATATTTTGAGTGGCTCTGAGGCACATGTACTGAGAAAACACGAGAATGGACCAAAAATTATGAACTTGGATATCTCAGTCGGTAGGTTTACAGCTTATATTCTGTAGACCACCTGTCAGATTTGACCCAGTCTTTATAATCATCCATATATACGTCACCGAATGGAACTAGTTTAAAAGGAAATCTTATCTGTGAATATTGCCTACAGATGAGAAAGAGGACATGCTGCCTTTCCCATCCGCCATTTTTTGTTATCGTTACCGCAAAATTTTGCAAATTGCCTTGACGTAACCGTCATGCTATAACACCGTGTTTATGCTATATTTTATTTAGTATACTTTAGAGTCAATGCCTTATAGTTCAATACAACCAAAGAGACCAAAGAGGAGATACAGTAAATCGATTGGGCCAAGTGCGTCATTTTCACAAATGATAGATGCAGAGGCATTTCTCACGATTTGAAACACCTATACTAATACTGCAACGCGATGAGAGTCTGGGAAGATTATCAAAAGGGTTTGGAGAAAATGTGTAAAAGACCGACCATATCATGTAAAATACCGACCATATTTGTAGCCTTAAAATATTGATAATTCGATTTTGAATGTCAATCGTAGGCAACGTTTTTTACCGATTATATTCCTTTCAACGTTTGGCAAGCAAACAAATTGGGCATGACTGTCTCCTCACGATTTAATTGTCCCGCCTTAGGTTCCTAGCCTACCATTAACAAACCAATCGTTTCTACGGAAATCTATCGTAATTTTTTACTGAAATCTAACGTACAATTTCGAAATAAAAATGATTTGTTATTGTCATAGCCTACTGAATTCTGAACACGATGTAATGTTACGTGCGTTTTCTCATCATAATACAAACTGACTATCCAGAATGAAATTGTTTTTTTTAACAACTGAGACATTCTCAACATAATCTTCTTACTATAAAGCACAATGGTCTGTCTGTCCAGACATCTGCACCAAGACAGTTTCATCTTGTATACGTTGTCATCATTCTAATTGGGTCGGTGGTCATGAAAGGTCAGAGGTTAGGATCATCTCAAGGTCAAAGGTCAATATCTAGGAATTT